CGGCAGGCTGAGACACCAAACAAGCAAGGGAGAAGTCTGTGAAGTTGGGAGGAAGACCAGATAAGAATAGAATGATCTTGTTTAGTATAATAAGCAACAATCAAAGCCAACACAGTAGTGAATGCTTCTTATTCTTAACAATAACTTGTATTATAGGAGAAATCTAGATACAAGAGGGGTTTTCCAAACAGTTTTGCCTTCAGTTAACATTGGGGGAAAAGCAGATATGCACATGTAGAAGTAAAGAGAAAGAAAGAAAGAAAGAAAGAAAGAAAGAAAGAAAGAAAGAAAGAAATATGAATGTATGTGTGGGAATTTAGTAGAGCTGGTTGGGAATGTTTTTGACAAAACAGTTTTTCGTTGGAAAATGCCCAAACTGAAAACTTTTGTGGAAACATATCAGTTTCAACCAAACTTTCTCAGGTCCAGGATAAAATTTCTGGTCCAAACTAGACAGGGGGACCCTGGAATAGACAACAGCCCAGTGATTGGGCACTCTCATCTTGGAAACTGTGATCTTAGGTACCCCTGTATTCACTCCCTACACACTACTGCAATAATATTTGTACAAAATATGTCTTGTGAGGTATCATGTGAAAGCTAATAACAGGCTGGTTATTAATATCATTGTAAAATGCATGTGTTAAGGTTTTATATAGAGAAAGTGAGAGAGAGAGAGAGAGAGTTATGAATTCTTTCTGTATGGTGTTCCTAGAACATGTTTTAGACTGGATAACCTACAATGTGGGTTTACCTCATTTCACAAATGAGCAGTAAACAAAGCCATTGAGCTAAACCAGTGGAAGTTATCCTGAGCCTGAACTAGAGACAGAAAATTATCATGGTTCCTGCACTCTAGGGAGACACAAGAAACGGAATCCCCAGGATTTCATCCCAGTGCACAGCAGGGAGGTATTTTTTAAAATTTCAAAAATTTACAAGGGACAGAAAAGCCACTCCCTGCTCATCTCTAGTCTTTAGCTAAACAGTCTCAGAGGCTGATAGTCTCTCCTCTTTCTACATGAGGAACTCTTTGATCTCAGAGGAACTGTGGGCCCCTGAGCACGTTATTTTCTCCTGGGTATTGTATTAGGGAAATCCTATGCTACTGACCACTGATTCACTGTGAAAAATCATTGTTGAGTAGCTCTAAAAAATGAGCATTCCTTGGCTGTGGTGAAGTGGTCCGGTAATTGCACATAGGCTCCAGTATAAACACATAAGGACTTAATTTCAAGGACTAAATTTGGGAAAATAATCTAGGTGATAACTTCAGGTCTGGAGGTAGCCAGACTAGCTTAGCTTGCCTCTCTGGGGCCCTTTCTGCTCCCACTGAAATTCAGATCAGGAGCTATGTTTCTGTTGATAGATAATTTGCAAAGTGTATTGTCAACACAACATTTAATTTGCTTCAAACAGCTCATAAGCAAACCTTTCATTAATTCTTTCAGTCTGTGTCCGCTGGATGGGATTTACAGCGCTCGACGTGTTTGGATGAAAAATAAAGAGAGACAAGTTGTCACCACTGAGTAAAAGAGGAGTATTTGTTTCCTTCACTTTGTAGCTTACAAAGTGTTTTATCATGACTTTACTTTGTGAAAATGGCAGAAGCTTTGAATTCATGACTGATGGTAGAAAGTTGACAAACTTGATGGATTCAGGCTTCCACACGCTGAACTACTCCAGACTGTACACCTTTTAGACCTGGAACATTCAGTCCACTATATAAGAGTGACTTGGAAGAGGATATTCCATTAGTGTGTGATCTATTCATGGGATGAGGTTAACCAATGACTTCTGAAAGAGTTGTTCATTTGTAGTGAGTGATTCTTCAGCATGTACTGTAAGAATGTCGCAAGATGGCTCGAAGGGAAAACAAGTAATTTCAAAGATGCATAATTCAGAAGGGGCTCTGTTACATGGGGGAAAAGAGTTGAATATGTCTTGATACTGAATAGTATTACAACAAAGACCTAATGAAGTAGGGCTTACCTTGCTGACCTTGTCTTTTGTTAACATGTTCCTATGTATTCACAGCTCACAAGACCTGTTTGGCAGAGTAGTTCATGTTAGTTTTGGCTTTGAAACATTTTTCCATTGAAGTGTGTCTTTGAATGAGCACACCACTACTTTTGCTGATTTAGTGCAGCCAAGATATATGTATAGTTCTAAAGCATTGTTTACATAAGATTCTTATATCGCCCTCAAACATAGTTATCATCCAACAGTTTGGGCATAAAAATTTGAAGTTGAATGCCACTTGGATAAAGTTCCTATCGCAGTGATTATGACACAACGTGTACAAGCAGTTTGTGGCTGATATGGAAAGATTAAAGCAAATAGCTATCTAATAATTGCAGGAGTATCAGAAATGTAAATGGAAACCTGACACAACAATTCCTTTTTGAATTCTAGCTTGTGTCTGCTATTCTCCTCTCTCTTGGATAAAATACCATTTTACAATCTGCATTTCTGAGCATGCACATTTGTAGCTTTAAAGTCAAATTTGCTTTGGTTTCTTTCTCTTTATTTTTCATCCCTGCACCTTTTGGTTTTAGAAAGCCAAATCAAGTAGAAGAAGAGGGATTTTTAAAGCAGAAATGAAATTCCCATTTGGAACAGACATAAATGTTCGCAATGTAAAACTGCAAAGTCCGTTTTCAAGGAATGGCAGTAATAAAATAAGAGTTGTAAATGATTTGTCTATAAGACCCAGGGTAATACTTACCCAAATATAGAAAGCTGATAATTACACTGACCTTAATATCTGTCATCATTACCTTGCTTACAGCTCACAAAACCTGTTTAGTTGACAAAGTCATCAAACCTTAGTTTTAGATGAAACTGCTTCTAATCATTACTTCAAGAATATTGCAATATTAAGAATACAAAGGTATTGGTGTATCTAATGGCAGTAATTGTTCTGAGGGAGAATTCAGATAAATCTCCTTCATAGACTTCATTCAGATTACTTTCATGTGCTTCTTGCAGTACAGAATGATTTCAAAGCACGGTTTTATAATAGATTATGCAAGATTAACATTCCTGAAAGGGAAAGAGAAGAAAAAGTGATCTGAGAGACTTGAAATACCTGAAGTGAACTTCATTCTTTCATAGTGAAGAAGGCACGAGTTGAAAAAACTCCCTGATGTTTCTTCACTTGTAGAAAGCATTACTGTTGTACAAGATACATGCTGACAGCATAGCTAAATGTAACACTAGCCCCTGAAAAATGAGACGCCCACACACCCATACAAAGAGCATAATACTCAGTGATGTTCAATCTTCTGAAAACAGCAGTGGGCTATGGGGCTTATTTCATGATTATAAAAACCTCATACTCTATGACTACTGCAGGCAAACTGATTTATTGGAGTACTCTCACATGTATGAGATAAACCCATAACTTGCTGGCAGCCATTTTTTTAAAAATGTGTGTTGGGGAAAAAGTCAACAGCTTGCTTACTTTGTAGCCTCAGAAAGTGATGGTTTGCGTCTGGCTCTGAAATATCAGTTCTGATGAATAGTTGTGGTGAAATTATAACTGTTGTTCTATGATGAGATAAACTTTCAGCTCCGTGAAGAAAATACAGATTACAAAAACTGATTGTAAACAATCAACCTTGTATATTCTTCTTCCCTAACTGAGCAATGTTTGAGTTTGTGCCTTTCCGACAAATGCATTAATAACGTTTAGCCACTAGGTATTTGTGAAAGAAATTGGAAATTGTTTTTAATTTGTTAGTTTGGTGAAGCGATAACACATGGAGTCAAGAGGGATGAAAAACTGTTAGTATGTGATTATTTGCATATGTAAATATATGAATATATGTATAAATGTGTGTCCCTGTACACACACACACATATACACACAGGAAGATAAAGTATAGTAAATAGAGAACAAAAAATATATAATCCATTTGTGAAAGATGTGGAAAGAACACATAACTCACGAATAGCAGAGCCTCTAGTGAGTTATGAAGCTTATTTCCTGAATATTACAGACAGTTTCCATATTCCTTTTATACATGTTATGTAGTTTAAATTAATTTTATTTTATATTCTTATGGAGTTTTGTGCAAAACAGTATAAAATATACCATATATATATATATTTCTAAACCATAGTATGATGTTTGGAAGGGGAATTTAAAAAAAAACCAACATAGTGAAATTATGTTTAAAACACTTATCATTTCACTGAGTGATCACTTTGAATTCAAAATCATGCTGTTACTTTACTAGAGGAGGTACATGCTGTAGGCATAGGTCTAAGTATTAAAGGGAAGACAGGCAGATGTACCTACAGTAACTGCTTGAACATAGCTGTCAATCTTACCAGGCCCAGATGGGAGAATCAATGTGTTAAAATACTCAAATGAGGGACACAAAAATTATGCATGCAGAAAACTTAAAATACTCTGATATTTTGTTGTTTAGTATAAATATGTCTATTACCTCCCTTTCATGAATCTGTATTACTAATCTAAATCATTTCAACAGTAAAAATGAAGAGGATACCATTCAGGTATTGAGTGTGGGTAATTTTGGAATTAAAATAAGAAATGTCCTTTGAAATTAGGGACATTTGAGAGGTAACTACCTGAAGAAAGTTTTTTTGGTCTCCTGTTTGATGAAAGAAACAGTGACAGGCAGCAAAATGGAAAAGCTAAGAGTTAGATCCTGAAAAACACTTATAACTGGGTGTAGTGCTTACTAAGGGACGTTAATGGGATTAAGCGATGTTATGCCCAATAGTAAGTGCTTGCAAAATCAGGCACTAAGATTATCTCCCCCCACTTGAGGCTCCCCAAAAAGAAACTGCCATTATCTATACAGCAATCAAGCAAGATTTTTGAGCTACATCACACAAAAATTGTCTTTAGGCCTTTCCAAAAGAAAGAACTTGTCAGTTTCTTCATGGAGAAATAAGAATACAACAAAAATGCCCTACCCAGCTTAGGAGAAAGGAGGCACCAGCTGCATATATATCCATTGCCCCTCCTATCCGGTATTTGTGGGAATGAGCAATGCATGTGGAGGAAAGGGAGTTAGGAGGGAGTTATTAGCTAAACTGAGGAGGTGGGGTCATAGAAGGCCCCTCTCAAGAATGGACCACTATTTGCTGCCTCCCCCCTTCCATTCCATCCCACCTTTGCTATGTAGTTGCCTGGATGGATCTCCAGGCATGCTGTGAGCCGAGCCAAAATGCTCTTTTTGGCAAGGGATTTTTCCCACTGCAGAAGATTGATTTGTGTCAAATTGGATTTTTTTTACCTTCCTTACAGTTTACAGAGGTCTGTCTGGTTAGTTAAGATAGTTAAAATGAAAAGGAAAAATTGTTTGAAATAAAAACACCCCCTTCTAGCCCCCCTCCCCCCATCCAACCCCTTGTGACAACTTGCCACCGGACTCCAGGGTATATAGATGGAGTAAGTAGGTGACCAGATCCTGGGGCAATCCCAAGTACAGGACTCCGAAGGCTACTGGGACAAGACTGGTTTTAAGTCTGATGTCAACTGAGTCACTCTGAGCACCCTTGTTCCCCACATGAGGGGTGGGAACAAAGGAGCCCAGCACAGGCTGAATTCCTGACTGGGGGCTGTTGGGTAGGGCTCAGTGTCATCTCCCCTTCCCTCTTGGTTAAATTGAATAGTCTTACCACACTGGACCCAAATACTCACCTGGGTGGCACTAGTCCCGCAGTGCCTCATTGAATGGGGATTAGTTTAATAGAATCATAGAAACATAGAACCACAGGTTTAGAAGGGACCACAAGGGTCATCTAGTCTAACCCCCTGCAAATATGCAGGATTTGTTGTGTCTAAACCATCCAAGACAGATGAATATCCAACCTCCTTTTGAAAACCACCAGTGAAGGAGCTTTGACAACCTACCTACACAGTCTGTTCCATTGTCCTACTGTTCGTACAGTTAGGAAGTTTTCCCTGGGATTTAGTCTAAATCTGCTATGCTGTAGTTTGTCCTGCCCTCTGTAGAAAAAGAGAACAACTTTTCTCCATCTTTTCTAGGGCAGCCTTTCAAGTATCTTTAGACCCCATAAAATGATAGGGTCTAAAATAGCTGTTACCACTCAAGAAAGAGATCTTGGAGTCATTATGGCTAGTTCTCTGAACATCCATTCAATGTACAGCGGCAGTCAAAAAAGCTAACAGAATGTTGGGAATCATTAGGAAAGGGCTAGATAATAAAACAGAAAATGTCCTATTGCCTCTATATAAATCCATGGTGCGCTCACATCTTGAATACTGCCTGCAGATGTGGTCACCCCACCTCAAAAAAGATATACTGGAATTGGAAAAGGTACAGAAAAGGGCAATACAAATGATTAGGGGGATGGAACAGCTTCCATATAAGGAGAGATTAATAAGACTGGGGCTTTTCTGCTTGGAAAAGAGACGACTAAGGGAGGATATGATAGAGCTTTATAATATCATGACGGGTATGGAGAAAGCAAATAAGGAAGTGTTATTTACTCCTTCTCAGAACACAAGAACTAGGGATCACCAAATGAAATTAATAGGCAGCAGGTTTAAAACAAACAAAAGGAAGTATTTCTTCACACAATGCACAGTCAACCTGTGGAACTCTTTGCCAGAGAATGTTGTGAAAGCCAAGACTTTAGCTATTAGCCAGGATGGGCAGGGATGGTGTCCCTTGCCTCTGTTTGCCAGAAGCTGGGAATGGGTGACAGGGGATGGATTACTTGATGATTACCTGTTCTGTTCATTCCCTCTGGCATTGGCCACTATCAGAAGACAGGATACTGGACTAGATGGACCTTTGGTCTGACCCAATATGGCTGTTTTTATGTCCTTATCTGAAGACCTCTATCATATTCAATGTTCCCTCTAATTTTTTTACATCCATGCGCGGAATGAATTTTGTTGTATGCACCAATATGGAGATGATGTATGGCAGGGGTGGGGCTGAGGGGTTTGGAGTGGGAAGGGGCTCAGAGCTCGGGCAGAGGGTTAGGGTGCAGGGGGGCGAGGGCTCTGGCTGGGGGTGCGGGCTCTGGGGTGGGGTCAGGATGAAGGGTTTTTGGTGCGGAAGGGGGCTGAGGACTAGGGCAGAGGGTTGGGGTGCAGGGTGTGGGAGAGAGCTCTGGCTGGGAATGCAGGCTCTGGGGTGGGGCCGGGGATGAGAGGCTTGGGGTGCAGGCTGTCCTGGGGCTGCAGTGAGGAGAGAGGACTCCCCCCAGCCCTCTATCACCGCAGTAGCCCTGGGGCCGGGGCTAGGCGAGAGGCGCCTCTCCCTGGCGGCAGCAGCTCCAGGGCTGGGGGGAGAGGAGCACCTCTCCCCACTGGCAGGAGCTCTGGGGCCAGGGCTGGGGGAGAGGTGCCTCTCGCTGTGGCAGTCCTGCATGCCCCAACTTGCTCCTCTCACCGTCCACCCCCTACCTCTCTTCTGTCCAGGCCCCTGTGGCTGCAGGCCTGCACAGCCCTTTATAGCCTGCTGCGCAGCCATGCGGCTGCACAGCTTAGAGAGAACTTAGATCATATTCCCCCTTAATCTTCCCAACTAAACATACCCAGTTCCTTCAGACTTTGCTCATATGGCTTGCATGCCATCCCTTTGATCAGCTTTGTCGCTCACTTCTGGATCCTTTCCAGTTTCTTCACATCCTTTCTATACATTGGTGACCAAATTTACTGCCTGCTGTATTAAATCCATTTCTTTTATGTCTTATTTCCTTCATGACTGGATCAATTCTCTTACGTAAGTTAAAGCTGAACCATATCAGCTCTCTCTTGGGCCTGATTCTAATTTTACTTTCTCATGTTCAGATAAGGAATAATAGCATTGAAGTCACTGGTTTTACATCAGTATAAAATGGTGGGTAAGTGAGATCATGGTCAGGCCAAATCTCTAGATCTTAGAATATCAGGGTTGGAAGGGACCTCAGGAGGTCATCTAGTCCAACCCCCTGCTCAAAGGACCAATCCCCAGACTGATTATTTGAGCTAAATAATACATTCATTTTATTCTTTCTTGTTCTGTTCTCAACCCTTTGGCTAGATTTTTATCAAAGTGTAGACACATGTTCAGGGAAAGGACAATTCAGCATTAGCCGTCAAGTGCCCTGTCTTTGGTCATGAACCAAAAATAAGGTTAATTATGTAATCTTGCAAAAAGAGATTTCCAGTTGCACTTTAAATGAAATATCCCCCAAAAGTATTTAACTTAGATTTAATGAGAGAGTTATTATATGTTAATTAAATACACACTGGTTACTATGAATATTTATTCAAGTGTAACAATTTTTATGAATATATATGTTAAACAATTGTATTTCAGTAAATATGCTCCTAATAATTATTTCTTATGTACTAAATTATGCAACTAAATGAATTGCTTGAGCAAAGATATAAAGAATGTATTGTACATCGTGGGCCCAATTCTGTCATC